GTCTGTTTGTGCCTACATTGGACAATGACTTTCACGCTTTTCAAGCGCGCCAAAAAGCAAACAACAACAACAACAGCAGCAAGTAAATGCATATAAATACATGTACATACATATGCATGTATGTATATATACATACATATATGTATGTATATACAACAAGTACAGGCGGCCAACTGGCGGCTATCCATAAGACACAAACACACACACTCACATAAAAAGGCCAACACCATCGAAAGGCTAAGTCGAATTTAATACACTGCGCCGCACATAAAGTCAAAGCCAAAACCGCAAACAAACTTTAAATATTTATAAGCAAAGCTTTCATTGAAAATTGTTAACGCATCAAAAGCTCACAATTGGAGTTGAATTTTCGTCATCAATTTGTTGCACTAGTTGCACCAGTTTTGTTCAGTGTATTTGCATGTACTTATGCTGTGAGGATCACTTAGTTCAAGCTCAGCTGATTATTGAAGCTGCGCTTGAAAGCTTTAATGCTCTCTCCTACTCTCACACACGCACGCCTCAATTACCGCTCAGGGTCACAAGCGAAAAATAAAAATAAAAAAAAACAAAAGTAAAGAAAAAGGGTTCGAATCGAGGCATTACGCAATTTATCGACAAATCGGTTGTTAGCCGGCTTCGCCTTTGTCGCACTTTCAGTTTTGTTGTTGTTTATTGCATTCAATTTGCAGGGAAGCTGCAACATGCACATCACCATCAGCATCATAATCATAATCATCGTCATAATCGTAATCATCATGAACGTTCGTTAAAATCGTTGGGCAGGCAATCAAGTAAATGATGGGGACAAGCGCAACATTAATTGAACGATCGTGTTGGGCAATGATTGAAATCGATTGATATTTAACCGTTGCGAGCGGGCAACAGTGTTGCAAATTGTTTGCTGTTCTTGTTGTTGTTCGTCTTGTTGAATATACAGCCATTTTTGGCGCTATAAAATATTTTTTTGGCGCTCACAATTCACAAAAATTTTCTTTCTATTTAGATAATTATTTGTAATGCGTATTTTTGGCGAATTTTAGTTTTACTTTAGCTTCGCTAAGCTTACACAGCTTTCCAGCATTTAAATCAAAAACAGACAAATTTTATGAATTTCACACGCACACACGAACATACAAATAATATTTAATAATTTCTATTTATTTACATTGGCTTAAACCATTAATGTAACAGCAACAAAAAAAATTTTAGTTTTGCAAATTCGTTTGCAGAGGACTACGAGTAGTACCGTTCGAAACCGTTGACGAGTATTAACTTTTTGTTGATGTATTGCTGATCAGTGTGGCCGGTGCCAGCGAATGGCCAAAAACGACAAAATACTAAATGCAATAAAGCAGTTGTATGCGCCTGTATATACTAAAACTCTGTTAGTTAGCAGAACATTTTGAGTTTTACTTGAACTAAATTTAACTTTAATGTTAAAGTAACGGCTTTTATTTTAACATGAATCGGATTATGACATGGCCACAGTTCAAATCGGCAAATATTTGAAAAAAATATAATTTTCTTACCTTAACCTAACTGGTAGGCAACACAAGTTGGTTAATTTTTTGATATAATATGGTATATATGGTATTATTTACTTACTTACTTGTAAAATTTCAAAATTCTCTTTCTAGATTTTCAAACCTCGTCGATTAATGCAAACTGATTTTAATGAAGAATGTGTTTTTGATGTAGACTGGACCGCTTGATTCTGATTTTTTTTTTTTTTTTTAAATATTTTTTAGTAACATTGGACCACATTATCAATAGCCTGCCATAGGAACTATCGGCCAAGAATTAGGTACTTGAAAGTCTTCTTGAAAGTCTGTAACTTAACCGTTTAACTCATAACTTCATATTAAAGGTATCTTAAACAAGGTGCTTGACTGATTGTCTATTTTTATACCCTTGCAGAGGGTATTATAATTTTGTCGTGAAATGTGTAACGCATAGAAGGAGACATCTCCGACCCCATAAAGTATATATATTCTTGATCAGTATCAACAACCGAGTTGATATAGCCATGTCCGTCTGTCTGTTTCTATGCGAACTAGTCTCTCAGTTTTAAAGCTATCTTTATGAAACTTTGCAGAATTCCCTCTTTCTGTTGCACGCAGTTCATATGTCAAAACCAGCTGGATCGGACCACTATATCATATAGCTGCCATAGGAACGATCGGTCGAAAAGTAGGTTCTTGAATAAAAAACATTTTTGTTTATAAAGTTATCTTGACTAAACTTGGTATTAATTAGTTTTACTACGCTCCCCAAATATATGCAAAATCCTATTAAGATCGGACAACTATATCATATAGCTGCCATAGGAACGATCGGTCAAAAATTAAGTTTTTATATGGAAAATTTTTAAGTTTTTCAAGATATCTTGACCAAACTCGGTACTTATTAGTTTTACTACGCTCCCCATATATATGCAAAATCCTATTAAGATTGGACAACTATATCATATAGCTGCCAAAGGAACGATCGGTCGAAAATTAAGTTGTTGTATGGAAACCTGTTTTGTTTTTCAAGATATCTTAACCATACTCGGCATTAACTATTTTTGCTTCTTAGATACGGGCAAAGCACTATGAGCATTTTGAAAAGGTTGGGTCTGCAAGGGTATTAAATCTTCTTCTTCTTTCTCGTTTTTTTTAATTTTTGAAGTGATTTTTTTATATGATTTGCAAGAAATTTGACCAATTTGAAGGCCGCTTTTAGTGAGGCTTTTCCTAACCGTTTCCGATCATTGAATCGGTTAAGATTTCCGCAAAATTAAAAAATTAGAATACTTTCAAATAATCAAAATACGAATAATTTCTCTAATTTCCCATAGATAACATATTTGGGGAGCTTCAATAAACCATATTACTATTATATTTCATTTTGGCAACAAATTGTTAATTTTTTGTCGTTGATTAAGGATTTTAAACAAATTTCTTTTTAAAGGAAAAATACATTTATTTTGTAGCTATTTTTTTTTTCTTACAAATAAATGTATAACATTTAGTTACAAATACATTTACAATTAAAAATTGCTCTACTTGAGGGGAAACGAAAGTACACATACGTGACAATATATATATATATATATATATATATATATATATATGTATATATGAACTAATCAGTTAAGTTAAACATACGATACATGTAAATATAGACAATTGAAAAAAAAAATAAACAAAAACAAAAAAAAAATGGAGATTTAGTTAAGTTTAGCTTATTCATCAAGTTTTATGCAGTGTTTTTTTTAAAAAATTTTTATACGTATATAATATATATTTATTTTTTTTGTTTAATTTCGTTTTAATATCTTTAAAGTTGGTAGCTTTCATTTTGTTGGGTTTACAATAGATTACAATTACATTTACAATACATACATAATAAAAATGTGAATTATTAAAAACTGGTAACTGATGCTATGAAATATACATCAAAAATCGTTATAATAGGCACATATAAAGCAATGACTAAATCAGAGATATATAATATATTTAGAATGCACAATGCTGGCCATACACATACATACATATGAACGCATTTAAATAGCATTACATGCCGTACAGACATCGGTACACATACATACATATACATACATAAACATATATATATGTATATATATGCACATAGCTAGGTAGTTAGTTTGGTAGCTTTTAATTTTAATTCAATTTTGTTTAGGTTCGCTTTTTGTTTTGTTTTTGTCGTGTACATATGTAGCTGTAGTATATAGTAGTATATGGTGGATCGTTTTAATGCGCGCGTGTGTGTGTGTGTGTGTGTGTGTGTGTATATATAGGTGTGTAGGTGTGTGTATATTGTGCATGCAACTTGGCTAGTTTCGTTTATAACAATTTCTATAGGCAGTACATACAAATACGCGTATATGTAGCTTTTGTTAAGATACATGAAATATTACTACATATATACTAAAGACAGTCTTGTTTCTATGTGCGTCTGTGTGAGTGAGTCAGTGAGTTAGTGTGTGTGTGTGTGTGTGTAACGCTTTGTATAAGTTCATGTACACATACATATGTATATGGTACATATAAAGCGCTGTATTTAGCACATACACAGATTAAATATACATAAAAGAATCCAAAATTTGTATACTTGCAAGTTGTAGGTATACATATACATACGTATATAAACATATACACATTTATATACATATACATTAACATATATATGTATAGGTAAAAATAGTGTGCTCTAGTTGTTGTTGTTGTTGTTATTGTTGTTGTTTTTTGTGTATGATCAGTGTTGCCAATTTAACGCACTTCTAGCTGAATTTCGCTATCCGCTATATCAGCTATATTTAGCTATTTTGAATATTGTTTTTGCCAGCTGGTAACACTGTGTGCATGAGACTTGAACGTGAAAGCGTGTGTCTGTGTGTGTGTGTGTGTGTGTGTGTGTGTGTGTGTGTTTAAAACGCAGTTCATACATCTGATTGTGTGTGTGTGTAAGTGTATATATGTATGCATATAGTATATCATATCATATCATATATATATGTATATATAAATCATCGCTTAGCTTAACTAATGTACACTTTGTAAAGAGTTTAATAATTTGCAATTGTTCTTTTTTTTTTTTCATTTTCATATTTTCGCTTTTGGAAAGTTAATCATTTTAACGGAATTTGATCGCTGTGTATCTAAATATTTAGTTGGCTATACGCATAAAAAGCAATTTCAATTTCATTTTTTTGTTGTTTTTCTTGTAACTTTTCAAGTTGTTTCGATTTCTAATTGAGTGTGCGTGTGTGTGTGTGTGTGTAGGTGAATGCCAAATGAATTTAGAATTTAGTTTATCTTTTAGCCAGTTGTGCATACAGCTGAGGCTGTAATTAGTTTTTAATTCAAGACACGTAAAGGCGAGTCCTTTAAACACATGCGCAGGTGGAGGTAAATTAGCGGTTTCTGTAGGGAGTTCTTTAGGGTTTATACAATTCATAGTCATAAATAGTTAGTCAAAACTACTTGAGAGCCAATTAGCCAGCCGTATGCACAATATTATTACTTATAGATTTCATCAGCTCATGAATTTGTTCGTGTTTTTTTTTTTTCTTTCGATTTGGTGTCTCTAGGTGATTGTATACGTTGGGTTCGACGAATTAGCGCTTATTAAAAACACATAAAACTCGTAATTTGTATTAAATTTTTTTTTTTTTTTTGTTTTTTGTTTTTTGGCTCTACATACACGTAAATATTGTTAACATAGTTTCTAAAAAACAAAACGAGCACGTTTCGAAAATTCGTTGTTAATACACAGTTAGAATATTTGAAGAAATTAACATAGGTAATTAGGAATTTTATGTGCGCTGCCAGATATCGTAACGGTAACTATGTTAGCCGTTAGGTAGGTTGTTACGAATACACATGTATATATGTATACATATATATGGATATATATATAATTCTTACAATATCCATGCATGCTTAATATTTGCATTTACATTTTGTTGTTGTTTTATTTTCAAACTACACATATCGTATTTAACTCCGTATTTTTTTTTTTTTAGTAATATATATTGTATTTTTTTCCCGTTTTTTTTTAGGTACATTTTATGTGCATGCACATATGCAACTGCATCTATTGCTATATATAGATATATACATATATAAGTCGTATATATATATATATATATAGCTTATATACGTATATAGACAGAGTAGTGTGAATGATCGATTGTACTCAGACCCAGTTCGATAAGTTGACGACGGCGTGTGTTATGTCTAAGGGAGTTATGCACATCCACGGCGCGCGCGCACACACACACTCGCACACACAGCAGGTGTGTGTGTGTGTGTGTGTGTGTATGTAAACATTGCACTTTTAAATGTAGTTGGTGTTGTTGCTGCATTAAGACTAATAGTTGACTGGGCGTCGACCGCGTGGCTTAATGCGCTCCGATATCTGCCACATCTCCTCCTCGCCCATGAAATCCTTAAAGTTGTCAAAGAAGCCAATGATGCGCTCATTGCGTCGAAAGGGAAAGGCGCTAGAATACAAATATAGCCATATTATATATATGATATATATATATCTATAAATAAAATGACTGTGAAATTCACCATTTCTTGAAACGCTTCATATTGACAATGATGTTGTATTGCTGCCAGCGTTTTGAGAAGTTAATAACACCCTTGGACACATAGTCCTGGTTGCCCACATGCACAAAGGTCAGATCCTGTAGTACCAGACCGCTGCAGGGTATACAATAGATTCAATTGAATGATACATATATATATATATATATATAGATGGATTGGCATAATTCGATGGCTTACATGTAGGGAATGCAGGGCGGATTGGTTTCGGCAAGCGCCTGGCGATAGGCCCGAAAACTGGAACTCGAATCGATGAGCGCACAAAAGGAGCGCACCTCCTCCGCAATGCCCTTCTGCCATTCTAATCTGTAAAACGGAAATTTTGCAAGTTAATATAGTTATAATCAATTAGAATTATCCATAGGGTAAATACCTGCGTATGGGGCCCGAATCGAGAGCTGAGAGCAGCGCCAGATACGAATTGTAATTGTTCATTTTGCGTAAATGCTTCATGATTTTAATAAATTTATTCACATGCTTCTCACGCTCTTTGGCGTCCTGTAGACGCAAGATTTTGGAGCGCGCCCAATAGGACATTTTGTTAAAGTGCTCGGTGAATTTATTGAGATTGGGTGATTTTTCCTCGCACTGATCTTTGGCAAATAATAATACTTCGGGTATCTCGATTTTCTGAAAAAGCTCCGCATCCAGCAACGTCATCTGCTCGGCTATTTCCAATGACTTCAAGTCGAGCAGACTGGGCTGATTTGTATTGCTGCCGCTGCCCAATTGATCTGGGATATAGGCGTAGCTCCTTTGATCCTTATATAGCGTTACCTTCTCCACAAACTTGTTGCGCAGCAGCTTGGCCAAATACAGCTGGCCGGAGCAGACCAGCTGATAAACAAACTCAACCAGCAAACTAAGCAGCTGGCTTGTCAGATCTGTTGAGCTGTCAAACAGATGAGTTCTCGTTTTGAAATGCAATCATATTTTGGGCTTCAAAGTTATTATAGTCAAAACTTACGTCAGATCATTGACGACCCGCACCAGCAGCGAGAAGGTCTCCTTGGCGGCCTTCTGCTTCTGATCGTGCACCTGGCAGAAGAAGTATGTGTAACGATGGGTCAGCTTCTCGATCACATCGATCGGCTGAATGAAGGTGCGAAAGGTTGTAATGAAGGCCTCGCTGAATGCTGCATGGGCGAAATGAACAACAAATGGATTTTGGTTTAGATGACGTTTACGGATTGAAAGGACGCTGCTTGAATGTGTATTGTGGTTGCGATTGCGACTGCGATTGCGACGATGATGCCTACCATTATCGGCGACCTTCTGGACGCGACTGGCGTGCACGATCAGCGCATCAATGTAGCCGCCCTTCACTTCTGGGCCATCCTCCTCCTTCTTTTTGAGTATTAGGTATGGCGTTATGTCGATCTCTTCCAGCATATTTGGCAATTGATTATCGACCTCTCCCTCGTCGTCGTCCTCCTCCTCTTCCTCCTCCCCATCGATATCCTGCTCCTCATCCTCTACAAGTTCTAGCTCGCCTGGCTGCAAGGGCTGATCCACGGCCACACCTTGCTCCACATCGCTGGTGTCCAGCATTTTGGGCGTACTTATGGGCGTGGCTGGCTGCTCGCCTGCCCCAGCCTTCGCCGACTCGCTGGGCAGCTGATGTGAGTGACAATAGTAGGTGTGGCCGCCGGCAGCGTTGACATTTTCATTGCTGTCCATTACGGCCGCAGCAGCAGCTGCTGCGGTTGCCTCATCCGAGTGTGTTGGCGGATCGTTGAGCTCCTCACAGACGGTCGTCATGCGGCAGCCCCTTAGAGAACCATCGCTAAGCATTGGCTTCGGACTAGCCGGTGGGGTTGTAATGATCGCTGCTGGAATTGCTGTCGACGTCGTCGTGGTCGTCGTGGTCGTTGAGGGTTTGCGCTGCTTGTAATTCTTGGGCGGCAGCGCTGGCGGCATCTCCTGCTCCGGCGACAGATCCTTGCTAACGGACATTATGCTGCAGGCAAAGATGAAAATAAACAACAATTAGTTCAACTTCTCTGCAACTGCAATCTCGAGCACTTACTTCATGGTCTGGCTATGCGACATGTTGCGGCTGATGTTGTACGCGTGCATTGTATGCCGATGCTGCTCCACAGAGTGCGAATTCGCCGAGCAGATCTCCATGTAGGCCAGAACTGTTTGTATGGAAGTGGGTGTGCGTTGGTGCAGGGCGGGGCGAGAGAACAAAAAAAAAAAAAGAACAATTTTAATGCACCTGTCACAACAATTCAAACAAAACAAGCACAGCGCGAACAGCGTGCAAGCTGACAACAGTTCCAATCAGTGACTGGGGGGGATCTGCGCTCCATTTGGCGCCATGTATTGAATGTATTGAAATGCTGCTAGAGATGGGCGCAATATGCTTTATATTGACTCCGATTGCTATTCAAGGGGTAACCCAAGTCTTACATTATATATGTACATATGTATATAAGAAATCAGGTTCGCGAACTGAACTTTAGGGCGCGCCATTGGGTTGAACTATGAACCGAGCAAGGCAAAAACTTTTGGTCGGGTTTGAAGCCATGATTCGCCCGATTCGATCCTAAAACGTAATTCACTTAACCTAAACATTTAAAAAAAACAAATCTCATGCTTAATAATTTACAATAAACCAAAAATCAAGAAAGATGCAACATTTAAATATAATAAGATGGACGTAGAAAACAGGTTCACGAATCGAACCGTCTTCAACTCTTTTGAGAGTTCTAACTTGAGGCTCTTTCAAATTGATCGATTTGCGCCCATCTCTAGGCAAAGCTCGCTGCGCTAAGAGTATGCAACAGGTAAGCGCGTAACAACAAACAACATAAACAATAACAAAAGTGAAAGCCAGGACAAACGAGAACCAATATGGAACTAGTTCCACGGCGAAGGCGCAACACAACAGCAAACGGCGTCAGGGAGCAGAAGCTGCAATGCGTAACGAATACTGTATACCCTTTCCAGTTTTAATAAAAACTACTACCAAAATGTTAAAGAAACAAAAATACATTTATGTGAGCAAAATGATTTAAGAAATATTTATATTAAATAAAAGCTAGGCACTAAAACACGTTGGAAAAGTGGAAAACTCTTGGGGACTATCCTTAATAACGGGAAAATCTTTAAAATCGGATTCCTTTACTTCACGTTTCTCTTAAACCCAATTCTAACCAAACCAAATATGTAAATATATATTTATGATTGGAAAGGATATGCAACAGATTCGAAGCTGGTCGAAGCGTAACAAAAAATATATTGAAAATATAAGACGAATAAGAAAAGAACGAACTAAAATGAAAGGCGAACAGCTCGAGAGCAGCCAGACTTACCCGAGAATGCGACACTTTGAAACACTAGATGTTGATTGGAACGATAATTTAGATGGGTTAGAGTTTTGCGTACAACAATTTGGCAAGGTTTTTTTTTGTATTGCCCATTGGCAACATTACGAGTGCTATAAATAAAAGTTTTGCTACAAATTCTTAACTGCCTAACTACAAAAACAAATATATATATATATATGTATATATATATATATTAAAATGTATATATAGATGGATTTGTTGCTGATTGTTGATGTTGGTTGGTAGGTTGGTAGATTGATTGATTGATTGATTGATTGATAGACTGATTGTTGTTGTTGATGTAGCTGGCTGATTGTTGTTGTAATGCTGCCTGTTGCCAGTTGTTGATGCTGTTGTTCGTCTGGGCAGGAGCAGGAGGAGGGCTGCGTGTTTGCATCTGTTGCTCAACAGGCTTCTCTTTATTTTCATTTTCATTTTAATTTTAATTTTTTTTTTTGTTTTTGTGGGTTGTTTTGTGTGTTGCGTGTCCTTGTTGTGAATGGATGCGAAACAACAAAGCGAAACAAAACGGAAAACGCAAAACCAAACAGAAGTGTAACAGAAAGTCATGATATATGACTGAAGAAATTGTGTTGGCACAGGTGTGTGTTTGTGTGTTTGTGTGTGTGTGTGTGCGTTAGGCAGTTTATCGTATCACAGTTGGCACACACACACACACACCCTAAAGTAAAGCTAACCAAAAAAAAAAAAACAGTTGAAAACTCACCGCTTGGCATTGCCTGTGGCGACACCTAGCGTTCAAGTTTCGCAAATAAATTAAATACATGCAAATTGTTATACACATACACACGTACATACATGTATACACCAGTTTACAAAAAAAAAAAATGATAGAAAAAAGAAAATTGAGAGAAAATAAAAAAAAAAAAAATAATAATAGAAACCAAATGTAAATATTTGTGCGCATTTGGCAATCTGTGCTTACTGTTCTTCTTCTTCCTCGGCAGCGGCGGCGGCTTCTCCAAATGCCTGTCAAAGGCGCTGCTGCAGCTGCTGGGCAAATGGGCGCTCCGCGGCGGCTCAATGAGACTGTGATGCTTGGATTGCCACTGATGCAGCTGCGTCGACGAAGAATGATGCTGATGATGTGGCGACAATTGACGCATCTCCGGCATTTCACTGCAATACAAGCAAAAACCAAAATAGAAAAGAATTAAAATACAATAGAAAATAAAGTATTAAATTGCAAAGTGCTCTTATTGTTCTGTGCGCAATCATGCTGGCAACGCCACACAACAAGCTGTTGGCAAACTGTTCCCACTTTGCTCTGCTGGCGTTGCCATCAGTGGCCTACACGTACAAAATGGGATCGTCCAGCATATCCATGGCCGCATCAAAGAGTGACAATGTTGTTCGCGGCTGCGTCTTGGGTGGCAACGCCGGCGCCAGCTCCGGCGATGGGCAATTGCTGCCCAGCGCCAGCAACTGTTCACTGGCAATTGTTGTTGCCATTGCCGTTGTATTGCTGCTGCTGCAGCTAATGTTGCTGTTGCTGTTGCCGTTGCCGTTGCCGTTGCCGTTGCTGCTGATGCTGCTGCTGATGTTGCTGCTGTTGCTGGTGATGTGACGTTGCGTTGACTGCGTTTGGCTTAGCTGCTGATAATCGTTGTTGCTGCCGCTGTTGCTCCGACTCGCCGTTGTTGTTGTTGTCGTCGAGGATGCGCAGGTCATCTCGTTAATGCCAAAGGCGATCTCCGAATTGCTGCTCGATGACTTTGTCGAGGATTGCACACTGTGCTCCGAGGAGCGTTTCGAGACGCTCTGCGTGGAGGTACGAAATGACATCATCGATACAAAGCCTGCAGTTTAAAATAACAACAACAAAATGCACAACAAGTTAATCAATTGTCAAATAATGGGAACACAAACACAACAACAATACAAATTATAATTTATACAAATCGTGTAAAACACAGCAATGAGTGGCAGCAGGCGACTTGAATGGATGCAATACAACATAAAGATCAAAGCGAATTCAAACACAACAAAGCAGGTGACAGTGCTCTAGCCGGGAGCACCCGACTAGCAGATACCCTGACGAGCTGCCGTTACACACATGCTAGCTTCAAAGTAACCATAAGTGAAATATTCTATATTTCATACACTAACTTTTTATCGAGTTACGCTTAAAAAACGGTGCCTCAAAATCGATAATTATCGATATTATGGAAATCGAAGATAAAATGATATATTTCCCTTATGATATACGAGAATATACTACATTGAAAACTTTAAGTCTCTAACTTTTGCAGTTTCACACAGACGGACAGACAGATGGATAGACGGACATGGATCGACTTAGCTTGTCATCCTGATCAGGATTATGTGCATATACTTTATGGAGACGCAGATGCTTCCTTCTGCTTGTCACATACTAAATTTGCACAACAAAATTATACCCGCTGCCGCTGTTCAATATGATCTACTATTTGAAGCGAAGTTTTATGCTAAAAACTGGAATAAAATATTGATATTTTCTTTAACTCGTTGCTGATCTCAGACATTAAATGTTTTAAATGGTAACAAAGTGAGAAACAAATAACTACTTTAATTTATAGAAAGAAAAAATAACGAGATCAAATTGACAAAGTGAAGCTTTTGGGCACATCATTTTAGAGCAAAAACAAAAACTAATCTAAGCACACAGATGGGAGACAGTAGTTAAAGCAGTAGATATATAAGTAATTGCCTGGAATACCCGATTCGTTTGAATGACGATTGCTGGTTAGCGCTGCGGCTGCTTTACGCAGCTCCGTGTTGGCCTCGGCTGCGCCAGGGCCGGAGCCAGAGCCAGAGCCAGGACCAGATGCAGAGCTGATACCCGGCAAAGGCGGCGTCATCTGAGCGCTGGACGCGGCTGCCTCCTGTGACAGCGCAGCGCCAGCCTCAGCCGGAGCCTCTGCTGGTCGCAAGCGAGTTTGAGAAATTGAGTTATAGATGGAGCTGATGTTGGGAGCTATTGCTTGCGGGAACTCACTGTAGCTGATGAGCTTATCCACATCGTCCTCCAATTGATGGTGTAGCGTTCTAGACGGCGGCTTCTGCAGCTGTTCCTCCTCCTCGCGTGAATGATTCAGCGCCGAGTCGAACGAGCATTGGCTGTTCTCGTCTGGTGAGCGCGAGCGCACCGAAAGGCTGCAAACGAACGAGTCGATAAGGAAATTAATCAACGAGTGTGTAAATCAAGCGAGTAAATTAGCAAAGTGTGCGATTTCAACGAGTATATGTTTATGTAAATGGGCGAGTAAAGGAGCGAGTTATGGACTTGGGCGAGTAAGGTGAGTGTTTGCAGCGAGTAAAATAGAAAGAAATTGAGTGAGTTTAGCGGAAGTAAAAAAGTAAGCGAGTAAATAAATGATTAAATGAGCGAGTTTATGAACGAGCGAGTAATGCGAGCGAGTAAATAAACGAGACAGTGTAACGAATGAGTATGAGTATGGATGAGAATTGAGTATTGTTAATAAACGAGCAAGAGAATAAGTAATATAAAGAGTGATGAGAGACTGAAATAATAAATTAAGCGAGTAAGTTATTGAAACGAATAGTTAAATGGGCACAAAAGCGAGTCAATTAGTCAAACGAGTAAATGAATAATGAAAAATGAAGCGAGTTAGTAATATGGGCGAGTAAATAAGTATTCAAATGAGCGAGTAAACATGTTCAGCGAGTAACTAACCGATCCACGCCATAGTTAAGCAGCGAGAAATTCGAACTGCAATCCAGATCAGAGTTTAGGCTGATGTTATGCGATTGTGCATAGGGCAACGGGCTATTCGCCTGCGACGAGTGGCTGGTGGTGGGGTTCGTATTGGTATTGGTGGATACATTGGCATTCGCCAGCTGCGACTGCGGCTGACTGCGGCGCTTTGGTGGTAACGGCGGCGGATTGCTCGCCCGGTTGGGCAACGGCGGCTTTGGCGGCGGGCTCGTATCGCGCAGTATGCTCTCCGTGCTGTGCGAGCCGCGCATGGGATTCACATTGCTCTGCTCGAGTATGTCGCGCTCCTTGGGCGTTAGCGCAATATCCGGCAGCGAGGTGCGCTGCACCACAGCGGCCGCTGCCGCATCGGCGGGCGTACGCAGCCCAGTCATGCTTCCCGCTGCGCTTGCGGTGGTCACCACGCCCATTATGTCCGCAGCGGCACCAATGCCGCCCAAACCGGCGCCGCTGTAACGAAACGTGCACTGATCCTGCTCCTTAAGCTTGCCCTGCGCCAGTGTGACCAGATTCTGCAAGTGCAATAATATGTGCTGTTAGTGTTTGCCAATTTCGTTTGCTCGAAGCCCGTTTTTCTCAGTGTCTACTTAAAGTTTAATCGTCAGGATAATGTGGTATCCTCAGGATAATGTGGTAACCTCAGGCTAATGTGTTATCCTCAGGGTAATGTGGCACTTGGCAACATTCGCTCGACAACTAGTTAATACTGAACTGCTAAAATCCATTGGACTGTTTATCGATACGAATGGCACATAAGTTCAAAGTTTGCAAGTAAATAATCTTCTTTCTTCAGGTTCCATAATGTTCTATACCTTCAATATAATCGATTTTTCGTATTTCAAATAAGAAACTCCTAATTTTTCAGTGTCTGCACAGACGACAGCAATTTAAATTGAAACATAAAAAGAACATATTTCAGTCAGTGTACACACTGGCCCGCAGTGTTGGTCAATTGGCAGTTAGTTAAACTGGAAATAGGATTTCAACTGCCCGTTAAATATATTTTACGTGATTCTAAAAAGACACCTACGTGTCTTTTACGTGATTGTCAAGCCCTAAGAAAGCAGGCCTTAAGTGATTTTTTGTTGACAGCATTGCCAACACATATAAATGTGTGCACACACTGGCGCGCAGTGTTGGTCAATGAATAAACAACTAAACTGGAATTTGGAAGATTTGAACCGTTCGTTAAATATATTTTCCGTGACACTTAAGCCAAAAGCAGGCCTAAAGTGATTTTTTGTTGACAGCATTGCCAACCCATATAGATGTGTGCACACACTGGCTTGCAGTGTTGGTCAAGCTTAGGAGACATTGAGGAAACGGGCTACTGGACACTGGGTTCACACTTACGCGCACTGCATCCTCGAGTAGATCGATGACCTCACGGACATTCTCGTTGCTGAGCGAGGCGCACTCGCCGCTCTTCTCGCTCAGCATGACCTCGTCGCAGAGCTTGATGAGCTTGCCCAGCGATTGATAGACCTGCTGTGTGGCGGAGCTCATGATGGCACTGTTCTCGTTCAGCGTATACGACTGAATGACTGCGAAGAAGAAGAAGAATAAGAAGGTAGAGTTAGAGAATATTAATAGAATCGATTCGGGTCAGTTGTAGTTTACCGGAATACATGCTGGCAATGGTCTCCAGTATGACGGTGCCATTGCCGGGCAGCACCTCCAGCTTCTTCTTGTGTATGACATCGCGAAAATGTTTGAGTGCATTGGATATATCCTTGACGTGCGTCTCCAGCGTTTGCGTGGAACGCTGCACCTCCTCGGTGGTGGGCGGCGGCTTGGAGCCGTGCTTGCTGCGCGGACTGTGCGGCGAATGCGATCGGCCGAGCGTATTGTTTGTGGTGCGCATCAGTGAGATCTTCTCAATAAGATCGTCCTTAAAGGAGCGCGCACGTCGCGCCAACTTTGTCCCCTTCAGACTGTTCTTATGGCCCGACGAGCCCGACGACGATGTACTGCTGCTTGGCGGCGCTGGCGGCACACCCCCAACTGTTCGCCCGCTCTGCTGTGGGGTCGTCGCCGACGTCGGCTGTTGCGGATGCTGCTGCGGATGCTGCTGGTACTGCGGATGCTGCGGCGGGGGCGTTGACGAGGTGCTGGTTGTGTGACCCGCGTAATTGACGGTGTTGGTGGCGCCGCTGCTGTTGATGCTGTTGTTGCTGCTGCTGCTGCCGCAGCCACCGACGCCGCCCGCCGAGCAGTTGTTGGGCGTGGATGGAGAACTGATGCTGCCGTCTATTTTAGGATAAAACATGGCGTTCAATAATTAATGTTAAATCAAGAATCAAGACCGAATGATCTGCATTTGCTCTATGGGATTATTCAACTGGATATTTATTTCATGCGCTCCAGCTCAACAATTGGCAACACACACACACACACACACACACACTCATATTCACACACTCACACACACGAGGCCTATCACGCATTCATGAATCATAACTCAAGCGTGATTCAGTGAGATTATGCATTGCGTATTAAGCACTTATCGAATAAAAGGAATACGGTTCACGAACCGCTTTTCGGTCTAAAACACGTTCTGCATTCGTATACCCTATAAGGAATAGAGCAGGAGCCTGAACGACTTGAACGAACAAGAGGACATGACTAAGATTCAATTTAGCTGGCATTCGATCACCGGAAAAGATGGCTCAGTAATTCAATATATTTGAAAGATACGAGCGCGACACTTCTGGGAGATAGCAAAGCAATTCACCTGGCAGATAAAGCAAGCTAGAGAAAAATAGCCAAACGTTTCACTTATGATTGTAGCAAATGTTTCTATATAAATCAAAACGTCAAGCTCCGCTTAGACAAGTTAGTTAAGCGTGTCGCCTGGAAGTCGAAAAAGCAATACACAATATTACAAATATTTCCATGCTAATAATCACAACCGCAAGCGATTCACCTGGCAAATCGTTAGGCATTTCCCTGGGAAAATAGATTTGTTTGTCTTGAACTGAAATAGGCGATATGCATGTGCTTTACTTTAGTTTCATCCCCTTTCTCTTCTATATGCAGATAGACAAAAAAGACTCTATTGTATGACATAAGTATGGTCTATTATTAGATCTGCTTACAGAGTATCTAATAGTCGTGCGTCCGCTTGCTTACTTGTTGTTGTAATCGAACAGTCATTTCGGCACGGGTTTAAGTAACGATAACTACAAAGTTTCCGAAGTGCGAAGCGGTTTCAAGTGATTTTATAGGAACGTAAGCAATTACTCAAGATTTCTCGATAGTTGTATATTTGTATAAATCTATATATATATATATATATATTACCTTACAGTTACTTCATTGTTTGATTAAGCTAAGAGCTCACAGGGACTTTAAAAAATATTACTGAATGAATATTCTTATTTTTGTCTACTTTTGTTTTTGATTTTCTCCGATATATATATACATATATAAGTATATCGAAAAACATATAGCATGTGTATAGAACAATTTGGGATATATAGACATCGAATTTGCGTATTTGAGAGACCTTCACGTGTCGCTTTTTAACATATTCACCAAAAATTTCACATATATCCACACTCATTTGATGTGTTGTTTATTCAATGCTTGTTTTAAATCGCCAATAAAATGATAGAAATCAAATGAGAAATGCGGAAAGAGACAGAGAAAGAGTGGAACTAGCTGGCTGAAGGCCAAACTTGAGATACTCTATGCAAATGTGTTCAAATTTTTACTACCGAAAACAAAAATGTATTGGCGAAGAAACTTTGAACATTAATTGCTGTTAAGCTTTTGTCTGCTCAAATAGATTCTATTTTTTATATTTCAGTTATAATTCATAGCACTATCGATAAATATCGATAGGCATTGGGTTGTCGACGTGAGATTATCATCGTTTTACAACACGGATAACACATTCCGTACTAAATAAGCCTTACGAGCATCTATTCGATTTTTTATCTGTAGCTAATTGACATTGCTCGGATTGGATAATATCATTGAAGTTGTCTAACAAATATAATTCGAATACTATCGATATGTTCATTAATCGATAAAGCCAGATAAGTTTGAACGACAGGGGATACACATCAATTGTTTGCTTACAAATTTACATTGTTTAATACATTCATAGGATCATTCGATACTATTATCGATAACCTGCACTACTGACTCTTCCAAAACCAACAACAGCAGAAGTTGTTTAACTAAGGAAGATCAGCTACTAAAGAGCTAAAGATGTTTCTATTAAACAGTTAAGAAGTTGAATGTATCGATACATGCCCCTAGTCGATGGAAACTATCGATAATAGTTGCTATTGAGTGGCATTAGCTGAGTTTGTTTAATCGATAGCCAATATGCTCAACGATTAACTAATCGAAACATACTATCGATAACATTTCTAAAAGAGTGACTTCAAAGAGATCGCTTTTCCAGCAATTGCTTGTATTTGTACGAGCAATCGATAACCAATATGAGCATCAATTAATTAATCGATAAACACAATCGATAACAGTTTATTAACAGGTGCGTCAGCAACTGATCGCATTTTATTAGCTTTATACCAAATGCAATCGATATCGAATATGGTCACTGATTCACTAATCGATAAGCACTATCGATGACATTGCTTAAAGAATGACTTAGCACTGATCGTTTTTTCAGCAATTATTCGTGCTTCGTTGGCTTCAAATAACATTTCGTTATGCCAGATGCAATCAATAGAAAAAATTCTCATCGATTCACAAATCGATATCATTGCTTCAAGAGTGACTTAGCACAGTTCGTTTTTTCAGCGCTTCGTTATGCCAAATGCAATCGATAACGAATATGCTCTATCGTGTAGAGCATATGGCACATGTGCGCCGCTCTTTTGCTGATTTGCATGATGAACGATGGGCAACCACACGGCAATCGAGCAAATGCCGAACGGTAAACGATCCATAGACGCCCACGCCCAATAACAGACCGACAAAAAGAAAAGCCCACAAAACACGCTAATGGAGGGCGGCGGTGGGTTGGGGCATGTGCACACCTAGACACACACACACACACACATGCATGTGTGTGTCTGTTTATGTTGTAGCTTTCACTTACAGAGCAACACATTCTTGACCAGCAAACACGATGCTGGCGGTGTCAATGGTGTGCATAAAGATGGTGTTGTTGTTGTTGTTGTTGCTGCTGCTGATAAAGCCAAACGTGGCAATTTTTTATATTTGCGCCGTCTGTGGAATTTGATGTCATGCAGCGTGGCTTTGTTGTTGTTGTTGCTGCTGCTGCCGCAGCCGTTGTTGTTGTTGTTGTTGTTGTTATCGCGCGTGGACCACAGTGCTCGCTGCTGTTGTTGTTGTTGTTGTTGTTGCTGAGGTTGATGTGGCTTTGGCTCATCTTGCACTGGTTGCTTCACCGTATACGAATAGAAACGCCAGCGTTCGGCGAGCGCGCAGTCGCTCAGGAAAGACTCATCAAATTGCGGCATTTTGCGATTGCATAACAACAACAACTGCAACAACAGCAGCAACAGCAGCAACAACAACAATTAGTGCACATAACACACATATGTTATATATATACATATATATAAAGTAATCTTAGTCTTGCATTAAATTCGCAGCACTTTACGAGCTCTAAAGTAACTTTTTATATATTTGGTTTTTTTTTTCCTTTTGGCAGCTTTTAAGAGCAATTGCCGCCGCTTGTTATAGCTTCTTGTGCTGTTTGCCAATTAAAATAAATCACAAATACTAATATTATATATATTTAGACACAAGACGCGGCCAGCTGCTGTCGTCAGCGTTGTCGTCTGGAAAGCGCACTGAACTATGAAAATCCGCAAACGGCAAACGGCAATCGCCAGCAGCCAGCAGCCAGTCGCCAGGTCCGCTAACCAGCCATTAAGCAGCAGCAACAACAACAACAACAAAAGCAACAACAACAACAGCAGCGCGTCGTAAAGAGCAACATACATATAACAGCGCATCAAATGGCACTCGCTCCCAACAACTCGACTTGAGACTTGAGACTTGCTCGTGCAACAACAACAACAACAACAACCATGAACAACAAGCCGTGTCCAGCAGCAGCAACAACAACAACAACAACAACACCAACAAACACAGTAACAACAACAACATTCATACTCGCCCAACATTCACTGATAGACAAACAACATTGCGGCTCTCGCGTCCATTTGCTTTTGCTCTCTGTTATCATTTGAGCGTCAACTCTCTCTCCCTCTCTCTCTCTTGCTCTCTCTCTCTTTCTCTCTTTCGCTCTCCTTCTTTAGCCCACCCATTATTGTAGCTATTGGGTGTGTTTGCGTGACATACCCTATAAACAACAAAATGAACTAAATTGGGCTAAAGTACAGTTGATAACAGGAAAAGGATAAATCATATATTCAAATAAGTTTATGTTCCCGATCTAGAATTTAATTTAATTGTAAATAATATTGTAATAATAATAATATGTAGTTAAAATTATTTCAATATTTTCGTAAATCTGAAACTCAATTTTTTTGTTTTTAAATTTTATTGTATATAATATACATAATATATAAAAACATGTGTATGTATCTAATCAAAGGTTATAGTTATCTAAAATTCTTTATTTTTTTAAAATTATATTTTTTTTAACAATATTGTTATATATTTTTCAAATACTTCGTCTCATAAAATTGTTCAAAAACCTTCACGAAATCAACCCGTAGACATAATTGTTTTTTTTTTTAACAATTTGTAGAATATAGATTTGAACCCAATTCAGGTTTAGGAACTTAACGAGCCGAACTTAAAAGCAAGTCGCTGGTTCGAAATGTGAACCGAAACGCTGACTTTTTTTCAGTTTGCCGTCCCGATTGAAATAATATTCCAAATACAGGGTATTTGCTAGTCGTGCACACTCGACAAGCGCCTTTTCACACTTTGTTTAAATCGTATTCTATTTTATTTTATTTAATTTTTTCTTTCTTTGGCCCTGGGGCCCGGCAATGCTGGGGATTTTTTTCTCTACAATTTTCAAGTGGCGCGCGATCGTGACTTGCCTTGAAATGTGTTTATGGAAGCTGAAGTTGAAGGCGCCGCCAATAGAGTGAAGGAAAGAAGAAGAAAAACAGTACACAAAAAACAAAAAAAAAAACAGTTAACAAGCTTACGCCCAAAAAATTTCGGTTCAAATTGAAGAGAAGTGAAAATATGGCAACTGCTTTAAAGTCGATCAATCTAATCCATAGCATTCATGAGAGACAATCGCAATTTCAGAAATATCT